CTCGGCCGGTGGCCCGGCGGAAACGCACCGTGCGAGCCACAGGAAAAGCCTTTGTGAGGAGAAGGCTTTGGCCTTTTGAGGGGCTCCGGGTGTTTGCAAAGAGCCCGGCGAAGCCAAAGGCAGGCTAATGCGGTTTTGTTTCTCGCTGCCACGAGCTGTAAAATGGAGCCAAGAGCGGGCTGCAGCCACCCTGCGCTGTGCCCCGCTCCTGAAGCGTGATCCAGCACAGGCTGTATCTGCAGGGCCAGCTGCTATTCACAGGCACTCCCACACAAGGGCATGAACTCCAACACCAGGCCACAGGCTCATAAGCTAAAAAGCTGCTCTTTTTTTATGCACACGCACAAGGCAAGTTGCTACCTGCTTATGCCATAAGCTCTAAAGGTCTTACTACTTTCTGAATGGCACAGATGGCAGTCAGAAGACAATTTCCTTAGTTTGAACTTTTTCTGCCTCTTGAATGCTTAAGTAGGTGGCTTCTGTACAAGAGTTCATGTGATTTTGATGACTAATTTCTTGTTGTTAGGTTTTGAATGCAATAGAGGAACTTCTCGTCCTTTATGCAGCTTGAGTCACTTTGAATTCAAACCTGAGTCTGATCAAATTTATCATCTGACTTTATCGCTGACATTTATTTACATCAGAAATAAAGAATGATGAAGCTGAGGTTACAGGTGGTGTTACTTATAGCAAAAGTATTAATCCCTCATCTATTTAAGTTGCCTGTAGAGCTGCTAATATAGCATCCCTTATTTTAGGTCGTTGTCATGCACTGCACTCACCCATTTTAGCAAGTTGAATGGTATGAGAGAAATGGAAAGAGCAGATAAAAGCGTTCTGGTTTCCAGCTCCTGAGAGGTGGCAGGCAAATCACTTCCCACACCACAGATCTATGGACTGATGTTTCCCCAAAGCTGCCACTTTTAACTGAGGTCATTAGAACCCACTGATTCGGGTATCTAGAGAATCTAGGAAATACACAGATGCCCACCTTCTGTATAAAGTGCTAGAAAACCAAAGCTTAAAATTTCACAGCTATGAAATACCAGCTATAGTATCTCCAAGAAGGACTTTTCTGTTTAAGTAACAGTCAAAATGGCTATCATAAGACTAAGTCAACGCAAACAAGTTTGTACTAATACAAAGGCAATCTCAGTGTACTATCCTTTAATCAAACAGAATATACAACATTAATTACCATGTAGCACCTTCTAAGCCTCAAATACTTATCAAATTACTTACTCTGAGCTTTCAGAACTCTAAAAGCAAGTGCAGTTCAAATGGCTACTAGAAGAATGACTGGTCTCCTGCCTGAAAAGCAAGCCACAAACTTTCAACTCTGGAACTGCCAGCACCCAAATAAGAACACAGCCTTCATACTAAACAGTCATTGTAACAGGGAGATTACTTTACCTTGTTCAAAATGAAGAATCTAATCAGCACAAAGAGGACTCCAGACATCAATCCAGATAACAGTGGGGAAATAAACCAAGACGCAACTGTGTTGAAGAAAAGAAAGAATGAAACTTGAAATAAGCAGTATACTTGCCTAATAGTTAAGAAACTAGTTAACGAACAATAAACTTGAATGTTACGTATGTTTAATTAAAACTAGCGGAACTCAACGTTCACTGTCTCTCATGAAAGTCAAGGTAATGTGAGGCACTACTAGAAACATCAGTCAAACCATTTCCTGATAATTTTGCAAGTTTAGTAATCAAATTCATCAGTAAAATTTATTGTAGTTTGATGCAAAGTGGACCAGGAAAGCCCTGTAATTTCCTAATCACTATGACCATGAATGTTGCAAGGAAGTGGAAAGCAATTGCACCTAGCAGGATACCATGCTGCTCACAGAGTAAAAGGCTCGATTTCCAAAATGCCATAGGATCATCAACTGTAGTGAATAATGCACTTACATTTTTTGCAGGCCAGATCTGAAAGTGTCCAGGACCGATTTAACTGAAGTAGGTGGCAAAACTCCCACTGATTTCAGTAAAACCGGATTAGGGCAGCGCTCTGGAAATCTCAACCAGCATGATTTATTCTTTGTGGCATGGTTAACAGATTGATTCTGCTGTCATTGCAAACTGTCTGCTACTTTTTAATAGAATTAAAAAAATACACAGTGCTCCAGCTCCTCTAAAGCTCAATTGTATTTCCATGCTTTCAGCATCAAATCCTTTTAATACAGGGTTTAGGCTGCAACTCGGGTTACGAGGCTTCCAAAACAATAACGAAAACTCCTTCACATCCCTGCTTGGCTGTGCTGATCTTGGCAGTGGGAGGCTGTGAGTTAAACATGTGCTCTATGCCCAGATTTCGCCTCCCTGAAGCTGGTGGGTGGAGAAACATGACTGTGGGCATTCACATGATGGCTGGCATTGTTGAGAGCAAGAAGGAGGTGGTACGAGCTGCCATGAAAAGAATTAGAAGAGGAGGAATGTCACCTTGAAGCATATCTCTGAGGGACCATATGTCCTCAACCTACTGCTGGGGAAGCTCAACTTGCATCTTACCCCTTCCTCCACTGGAGACACACTGCAGCCCCTAAGGAACACAGCAGCAGTGGACTTTCTGAATGACAGGACTGGGGTGGAAAATAATTGAAGGAGGGAGTGCTATCAGCGCAAAGCAGATTTTTAAGGATTTTTTTACAGGCAGGGCACACTATTTCACATACCCTCATGTATAAAAGGAAAAAAGCACTTACCAATTTTGACCAGCTGCATCCACTGGACTCCCTGGGTGCCAATTGCCACTAGAGAAAATCCAATCGTAGCACCTACGATGCAATGGGTCCCCGATATCGGGAGCTTCAAGAATGATGCAATCAGCTGCCAAACAGCAGAACCTAGGAAAAAATCAAACAAACGCATGGTATAAACAACAACAGTAACAATAACATCACACAGAAAATTCTTTGCCACATGCCCACACTCTTTTATGAGCTCTGCCTACACTCCACATACACAACAGAGATCTCCTAAAGAGAGTTTGTTCCTATTCTGTCCCTAAACGCAGATACTGACAGTTCTACAGCAGCTTTGAATGTTGCATCTTACTTCTAGACACAGACATTTTATTACTAACAGCTCTTTACACTGCACAACAATTCTGCTTTTTATTGTTTGTTTTTTTGAAGGCTGTCAGTAATTACAGCCTGTCTAATTAAATACACAAACTGCTCTCAGTCTGCATCAAGCTTATAAAACCTCATCCTTGAGAGCTGGCTGGACCTGGAAACTTCCAAGTGGTCATCCACTGTTTCACAAATGAACTACACATGCTCCTAAATTCAGCTGCTACCACAGAAGGGCTCAAATTGTGGGGCAGGGAGTTTCTATGCCTCTTCTTAGTGACTTGCAGCCATCTGGAGTCCTCTATAGGGAAAACAGACTGAGGAGGGAATAACAACTCTCTCACTGCTTTCATTTGCAGCTCATTGTGGTACTGAAGAAATTCAGAAAGGCAAAAAAAGGATTATCTTAGTCATGGAGTAGCCAAAGATATGCTTGGCATAAGGAAACAAGATCCCCAAACTAACTAAGGGATGGTGGCTAATAGTCTGTAAAGTAAGTGTGACGTATGGTGTCCCAACAGATGACCCCAAAAAAAGATGCCAAGATGCACCAGAGAGGGTGCCTTGTATTTTCAGTTCCAACTTTCACTAGTTAGATCAGACCACAGTTGGCCACCAAGCCCTCATGCACACAGTTCCGTGTTCCAACTCATTTTCACATTGCAGGGACTCAGGTTCCCTGCTCTTCTTGGACTGCCAAATCATTCTGGCTGTGACACGAGCTTTCTGTGGATCTTGCTTTATATTAGGAGACTCTCAGAAAGATCTCTTAAGCTTAAGACTTCATGGCCTTAAGATTAAATATTCATGTGTTAAAGAGGCCCCAGTGGCAGCAATTAAACTGCCATGAGAGAGCTCATACTTTCTGGCTCATGTCAGCTCTGTTTTCAGATTTGCAGCACACACAGGTGATAAAGCAAGGCCACTGAACATAGTTAGGCAAAATCCCAGCCTTCATCCTCAATTTCAACAGGAGAGGATGGTCTGGAGATCTTGAAACAGAGCTGTCCGCAAAGGGTGATTTGCTGGCAACATACCTGACTACATTTGGAAGTCAACCAGTTGGTAAAACTGATCTCTCCTGGAGTACTATCCCAAAACAACTGGTGCTCCTGTTACAATTGGAAATTCTAGATGAAACAGGGAACACCTGCTCTTTATTTTTTTGGCTTGTTTTCCCATGTACTAAAATAAAAGAAACCTTTGACATGAACTTGGAGACCAGCAAGTGGAAGTGAGGTGAAAGTGAAAACATGGTAACATCTGTAAAGAGGCAGATAAGCCAGCCATAGATAAGTAATTACAAAATATTTGGTAAAAAAAGAACAGGGAAAATGCAACCAAGCCACAGCTGCACTGCAAATGTGTAGTGAGGGCTGTCTTTTTTCTTAGGGGGGAAACAGGGGGCTACGGCATTATTTCTTACTGACCCAACTTGAAAACAAACAGAACAAGAAGGAAAGCAGTGGAGGAGTGATGGATGGTCTGAGAAGGACAATGCATGGTCTAAAGATGATTGAGGAAGCACATTAAGAAGCAGAAGAAAGCAGGACTTCCCTCTGAGGCCTGCAATGCCTTTACCTACACCAAAGCTTTAACTCCTCTTTACCGTAAAATCCATGTTCCCGATTTTTATCTTTGCAAAACTAACCTAGGTACCAGGAGGCTCACTAGACCTGTCATAGAGTCCCAAATTCGGACTCTTCATGCCTGCTGACACCGTGGCCATACACCCTCTCCTCTTAACTGCTGTCTCCTAAAGAAAGAGGGTTGGCTGCGGACTGCCCTGACCAAGAGTCACCAGCACTGGCTTTCGGCTCAGGGTACTCCATGCTCCCCTGCTGCTGAAGGCACCACATCCATTCTCCTGAGGCTCTGGTGCTGTGTGCCAGGCTTGAGCCCCCATCGAGTGCCATGGCATCTGCAAGACTAGGTTAGTACTTTGCTTTGCTGGTCCTGGCTGGGATGTCCTCTCTGTCAATGGCATCTCCTTGGTTGGAGCAGCTGCTGACTTTGGCTCTCACTAAGACCAGTAGAACAACACTCGGTCAATTCTTGACAATAACCTGACAATTAGTTAATGCTAGGGAAGTGCTACAATTCACTCTCAAGAGCAACAGTTCCTAACTTCCCAATTGCCTAACAAACAACATCTTAATATGCTACAAATTATTACAAAATCTTATATTTAAAAATGTTAATCCCGTTGCTCCCTGCTTCCTTTTCTCTTAGGAGAGAAGGTTGCCCTGAAAATCACCATCTGTTGTTTGCTGCAAGCATCAAAAGATCTTCCACCAACATCTGGAAAGGGGATACAGTGACTTTTGGTCTCTCCCAGACTGTTGACTCATTTAAGCCTCATCAAAATTCAGAAGCTAAATCCATTTGCAAAAACATGATCATGAGGCATGAGAGAATGGGGTGGGGAAAATGCAGAGCAAAAACAGAAAGAGAAAGAGGAAAAGAAAACATCCAGGAAGGTCCAGAGAAAACACAGAAGAAAAAAAAACCAACATCATACATCCAGAGAAAAGCTGGAGATGGATTTGAGGAAAAAAAAAAATCTGAAATCTGCAGTTTGTAACTTATGATTAATTCTGAGATTTAAAATGTGGAATTTCTTCTTAATTCCACACTGGAATTCCACAGAGGAAGGGAATGCAACTGGTCATGAAGTTCACACAGGCTTATGTAAATATGCATGCAAATAAGTTGTTTTCTTTGAGCTTCTGGCCAGTTGCCTCTGCAGGGGGCATTTGAGACTTAAAACTTTGCCCAGCCAGGATCAGGATGCCAGAAATAGACACAGAAAAGGAAAGGGACTCTTCCTTTAGTGTGGACCTTGAGTACCAAGAACGTGAAGGTCAGAAGGTGCAGGTCACTTACATTTCAGATGGTGTAGGCTGCTCCCAGGCACAACCCCCTGGGAAATGATGGAGCTATCTCAGGAAGCAGAAGGCTTAATAGTGCAAGTGGAGTGGTACTAAGAAACCACGCTATAGCCTGAGGGAGAGCCCAGAAATATGGAGCTGACCTTGGAAAACATCAGGACAGAAGGACTGATAGGGGGTGCCCAAGAGCATTTGATGTGGTTTAAGCTGGCAACTTCACTGAGGGACTGTCTGGGGAAGTGGCTGAGGTCTCAGCAGCGACTCCTCACTAACCAACCCCTCTTCCCTTTGGGCAACCTTCAAGAGGGTCAGGGGCCAGTGAAAGCCTAGGGCAACCACCTCCCAGTTTTCAAGCACACAGAGGAGCTACCTCAGACAAGTCCCGAAATGAGCACTCAATGTCTATCTTGATCCATTAAAATTTGAGAAAAAGCAAAATTTTCCTATTTCCACAAAGAAAATGCAAAAGTAACTGCATGTAGTAAACCTCTGCATGGATTCACCTATCTTTAATGCAGATCCTTGCCTGAAAACTGGGGAGTTAGAGTTAGGTGGAAATAATAATTGTGTTAGGTTTAAGGAAGGTTATGGAAGAAAATCTTTGAATGGAACACATCTTTCAAACAGAGGATGCTGTGATGCTTGTATAAATCACAGCATCCTGTTGTGGGATGCCATGGACCTGTCAGACTGAAGAAGTGGTGGTGGGATGGACAGGCTGGCCCCTTGCCTGGGCTGCCTCTCTCAGAGAGAAAGGGTTTCCTTCCTGCTGTCTCCTGCCCTTTAAAAGCAAGTTTGCTATTGATCCTTGAGGGAGCTCTCCAAAAGCTCACAAAGTCTCTTGCATATAAACAAAGAGAAAATACTTTGGCTTAATGTTACTTACCCCAGAATATGCTATTTGTTCTAAATGGAGATTAATTTAACTGCAAACAGAAGCACGTGGACCAGACTCCACGGTACGCTGAACTGCTGTCAGTTTGAGTCAGAAAAACTAAAAAGACCTTAAATGTGTGACCATCTATCTTTACTGTTCCTTTAGTTTCATCACGGGCAAGGGTGAAGTGTATAATTAATTGAAATTACTTAGCTAGACAATCAGTGTAAGCAAAAGTGTTTGGATTTTCTGTAATTTAGAAAAAAAAAAGCTTTAGGTAATTCCTTCTCATATTTATGGATTGCAAAGTGCTGTTTCTGTAGGATGTTCTATACAGGCACAAATGCTATGCTTACATATTTTTCATTTACCATCATAAAAATCCTCAAAATATTCTTTTCAGTGCCCTAGGAATACAATTATGATCCATTATGCTAAACATTTTTTCTTCTACTAGCTAAGTGGCTGAATCATCCAAAAATGTAAATTATTAGAAGCATTTAAAAACAAAAACAAAGGTAGAAGACTAAAAAAGGAATACAGGACCCCTGCGTTCACACAAAACCAGATGTGCAAGTCCAGAAGAAGGGAAGAATTATTCATATTCACAACAAACAAGATAGAAATACACAGAGAACATTTCTTGGAATAGGAAAGCATTACTTACCAACCATTGCACTCACTTCTCCTGCCATCAGCAGCGGGACAGTGTTGTTGTACAGGTTCACATCTATGATACCTTTCCGAATTGTTTCTCCTACTTTTGCTCCCAGTAATACTGAGCCAGTTGTTTCAAAAACCGAAGCCAAAATGCAAGCCTGGCGTAAAGTAACGACACCAGAGCCCACGGCTGTTCCAAAAGAATTTGCAACATCGTTTGCACCAACCGAAAAAGCTAAAATAAAAGCAATGATAAAACCCACAATGACCATCCACAGGTACTCATCCATTGCCATCTTCCCCCAAACCGTAGGTTAGCTTCCCCTTTGCAAATAGTTAATAGTCAAGGCTGGAGGGCACCGCAACGGATTTGGAAAGCAGATTTCTTGTAAACAATGAGTTCTCTCTGGAAAGTGCTGGGTAGTGTTAGAATGTGAAGAAACTGCTAACTGCTGATTTTCAAACTACTATAAATACTGTTCATTTGGCTGCCTTCGGTCAGCAGTGAAACACATTCCATATTTTGCTCCCAAACTGGTATAATTGCGATGTTCTGTCCTGCAACAGAAAAAAAAAAAAAGATTTTGTTTTTTCTAAAAAAAAAGGAATACTCAGCGGAGCCCGTAACAATGCGCGTTTTCAGAAGTAAACAGATGATTTAAATCCACTAATGGGGTCCTACCTCAGCATGTGACTGTTCTAATCATAAAGCAGTTCAGAAAAGGTTAAAATTAGGTCATTTCTAAAGCAATATATTTCCTGAAATATCACAGAGAAAAACTTTTGAGCAATTCAAAATTATTTCCAAAGGTCAGGAGGTTTGTCTCTATTGAATTTACCGAGCAGTACAATAAGTCCTCTTCCTAGAAGGAGGATTCTTCTTGGCTCTTTGCACCCAGTGAATATGAGACATGCAGAACATACACACCATACCATACAGCCTATCCTAGACGAATATCACCTAGCTCCACTGACCTCAGCAGAGCTGTCAACATTTTACCAGCTGCAGCCAGCGATGCACTCCTTTGAAAATGATTTTATCTGTAATGTCTGTCTAGAAAAAAGCCACCAAAAATACTCTGAAGAGGATTAATATTCATCTATTGTTGTTATCCCGTGCAGTAAGAATACAACTTTCTTACAGCTTCTCAGGCAATGAAACAAAAAGCCACCAAAAATACTCTGAAGAGGATTAATATTCATCTATTGTTGTTATCCCGTGCAGTAATACAACTTTCTTACAGCTTCTCAGTCAATGAAACAGCACAATAATCACAATATTCCCATGTATCCCTACAGATCTAAAAAAGACTATCAAAAATAGCTTAATTAAAAAGTTGAGCTCTCTGTTCTTTCCTATAAATGGTTACCAATTACTAACAGTTATTACATTCAAACCATTATTATAGGTATCTTCTAATATTTCTTTTGACAGTTTCCATTTTATGATCACCTTTTTAATGACATCTTAATTATTCTTTAATTAGTCTCATCTGAAAGAAGAGCAAGCTCTTTCAAACAAAAAAATTGACAGACAGAAAGGGACTTTAACAAATAAAGCCTTCACCATCCTAAAGACTGCTAAGCAGAGTGAAAAGGCCCACACTGATGTCAAAAGCTAGAAGCAACTTTGCCCAAACCATCTGCCTCTTCTGAGGGCTGCTTCTCTTCTGCTAGCAGTTGCCATGAAGATGTCTCGTGCCACCCTCTGCTTTCTTATCCAGCTTGTTTGGCTCCAGAAAAATGGCATTTGGGAGGTGGCGAGGTGTTAAATGAACATTCAGCAACAAATATCCATCAGCAAACTCTACACGGTGTAAGAAGGGTTTCAGGAGATATGGGGATATCAGATGGAAAGCCCCAAGCCCACCTCCTGCTCGCTCTCAGTTTCCCCACAGTCGCTTCAGTCTCACACAATATACCCACATTCATAGTCTCAAGACCATCTTTAATTTCTTTTGATGTGCAGTGTGGGTTCCAGGGTAGCAAGGAGGAAGTGTTTCTGAAACCCTGAAATACTGGCAAAATTAAAAATTAAGAGTGATTTCACATATTCTTGAGACTCCGGATCCTTCAGAACAACCAACAGGAAAATACCACATCTGTATACAATTGTTTCCTAGAAAACCCTGAAGTTGATGTCAAGGATTGATGCTTTCTCTAAATACACCTATTCAGCAGAAAATATGTCCCTTTTTCTTTTCCAGGCTCCAGATTGGCGGAACAACTGTTGCTCCAGCCTTTTCCAGGCATGGAGCAGACATCAATCCTTGAATGCCTTACACTCTAAAATAACATCTCAGAAGGTATTAATGGCTAAAAACATTTGTATAAAGATTTTTATACTATGAGATAACATGAGAAAATGAAGCATGAATACATTTTTAATGTGTGAAGACTTGTTGCTTTTTCACAATTCATGAGCAGTCAGCCCAGTAAGTGGCACAGGACTTGTCAAAGACAGAAAGGCTAATAACGATATTGGGAAGAAGCACTTAGCACTTGTTTGTCTGTGAAGACAAAAGTCTGTTAAAGTAATTTATTTTAAAATTTCTATTATGTATATAAGATTTTTGCTAGGAGATGAAGTGCTGGACTAGGGTCCTTCCTTGATCCTGGAGATGAATGGTTAAATTCTTCATCCTGCATGGATTTACACAGTACCTTTAGCCTCAGTGCCCCAGTTTCCTCTGCTGAAAATGGGCAAAGCTGACTGAGGTCCATACACGTATCCACACACACTGTGATGATATGAGACCTGTTTCCTTCAGACCCACCAGACGAAAGCACGCCCTTATTCCCAACAGAGATCTGCCTCTTCTCCACTTACCAACCAGTGTACCAGTTCACTGCAGTGACCCATTTTCTGGCATAAGGAAGAGCAGGGGGATTGTGACATTTCCCCACTGCAACGGAGTTCATGGGACAACATTTGCCAAATCTGGCTCCTCCAGCCACTGTTCCAGCGAGTTCCAGCAGCTTCCAAAATAAACCACTAAGTCACAAGGTTGCCTTTATTAGCTTCCCTAGGAAGGGGGGGAGAAGAACTCCAGATGGTCTCACAGAAATTAAGACTTCAAATGTATGTGTGTTCCTAAAGTACCTTGTGAAGGCCAAAGAGTGTCCCAAAGTCTGTTGACAAGGCTCTTGGCAAGGGGCTCAGAGAGGCAGCTACACAAACTCTCTCCCTGTGAAATGGGATGTACAGCCTCAGGAGAAAAGGATGTCTTAAGTAAGAAGTCACTGCTCCTGTCATTTTATGCAAGGTGATGGTTCAAAGTAGAGCTTCCTCCAAAATGTAGGAGGCTCGGCTTGACATCCACTGTGTTTGCCCAAGTGACAGAGCACAGCAGTGGCCAAGCCTTGCCTTTAACAAGATGAAAAGAGGAAAGGGAATAAACACACTTTTAAAAACTAACATGCAGGCAGCACTTGAATGGCTAGGTGTTACTACTTCCAACCTTCAGTAACTGTGAGAGACATTAAATGTTTGAAGGCAGAAACAGAAAGAAGGCCAAAAAAAAAGGCATAGCTCCGCTGAGAAAGTTTTCAGAAATGCAAAATATCCTGCAAAGTAGGCCAGTGACTAAATACAGACTAAATCTTGTAGCATGCTTCTTTCTAGAGCCCAAAATACATCTGGCATGCTCAGACACGCTGAGCTATGCCCCTCATCACCTAATCTAACCAAAGAGCCTGTGGTATTTCATGTTGTTACTGGGACAGAAAAGAAACTGGAAAAAAAGGCCGTGCAGTAGGGAATGGCAGATCTGCTCTCTGAGTGACAGCTGGAAGTCACTCGCCTGCTTCTCTCCTCTGCTCATTTATATTTCACCAACACAGCGCTACACACACCAAATGCAATTCAACCTGGCCTGGTGGACACGTGGACATCCTCTCGTTTACCTGTGGGACCGACACCCCCTCTCTGCCCAGCCCTCCACACTCTGCAGCAGACTCCAGGGGGAAAAGTTCATTTTCTTACTTACGCTTTGGATAACTCTTCCTGAGCCAGCCCAGCCTGCACTGCAGTGACCGTGTTGCCAACTCATCCTTGGGCATTAGCAGGGCAGAAGAATTATGTTAGCACTGGGGAGCTGCAAGACCTGAAGCTGGAGTGTGCACCTCTCACGGCTGTGAGAGTGAAGGGAAATGCACAGAGATGAAATGTCAAGTTGTAAGAAGCTAATTCTGCATTAAGGCAAGATTTTTAGCCAACACAGATTTATTTTTTTTTTTATGATCCATAATTAGAGTATCATACTTAGGAGGTCTGAGCTGAAGCTCTTAACTGCTTCAGTGGACTTAGAAATTTGCAGAACTTGAACCTGAGTGAGAAAAATCTGATTTTTGGAAATGCTAAACACGTCCCTCTGCATAGCTGGCAGATGATCCAGACAGCACCCTCAGACTTTATTCTGTCGCTAGCTAAACATCTTGTTATAATTCTGTCAACACAAAGTGCTAGTTCTTCCCTAAGGGAAAGATGAAAACAAAACCTAGGCAAGGATGCACCTTGATTCATGCAGAACGACAAGTAAATCCTCAGGAAAAAAAGTCAGGATCTCCTAGTAACCATGAGATCATTTTAGGACATGATCATATACATTTACTAAGACAACCCTTCTGGAAACTATTCACAGTACACTTCTAAGCCTAGACAAGTTTTTACTGAAAAAATTAATACAAAATTTGAGAAATAAAACTGTCAGTTGTTTGGGTTTGTGGTTTGTTTTTGTTTTTGGTTTTTTTTTTTTTTTTTTTTGTCGTTGTTTTTGTTTTTCCAAACAGACTGCTTAAGAGAATTCAGAAACATCTAATAACAGCAACAAGCAGTTAAATAAAAGCTTGGGGTGAAGTTCAACATCTAGGGAAGCAATCAGAGTGCATTACACACCAGCAATCCAACTGCGTGTCATAAAGGAAACAAACAGAGACCCCATAAATGTCCTCTAATCTTCTCTTTGCGGAAAATTGGGGAAGAACCTCCTGCACTTGTGAAACGTTGACAGGTATATAAATCATCCCATATGCAGCTCACGCCATACATAAATCACGCTGTATGCAGCTCTCCTCCTCTCAGAAGTTGCCCCATGCTGCAGCTGAAAACTTTCCCCTACTCCGGATGAGACAGAGGTTCTGCAAGCTCCCGGTTTTAACTGTTTTGTTGTTGCCCAAGTATGAGCAAAAATCAAGACAGCAGCTACTGTAGCATTACTCAAGATAACTCTTACAACTACTCCACTCTGCATTATGACAAGACAGACAGGGGAGGACGATTTCTTTTCCCCTGCAGTGTTAAGAACAGCAGACATTTCATGATAGACAGAGGCATTGAATCTGTACTGACAGGCAGGTTCACTTCTAGTTACCAGTGGCTG